TAGTAGTAGTAGTAGTAGTAGTAGTAGTAGTAGTCGTGATAGTAGTAGTAGTAGTAGTAGTAGTAGTAGTAGTAGTAGTAGTAGTGGTAGTAGTAGTAGTAGTAGTAGTAGTAGTAGTAGTTGTAAGTGCAGTAGGAAAAGTAGTAGTTGTTGTTACTGCTGCCGTTGCTGCTGTTATTGTTGCCTGAGATTACTAACAGCAGTAACTAAATCGTAAGAGGTGTGTTGGTGCCAGCCTGCAGACGAGTATGGCTACGCCTGCAACACGGCGGCTGAGCATCTTTGACTGGAATTGTTAAGGGTTTATGTTTTAGGATTGCGGTCGAGGTGTACAGAGGTTTGGCCGCTTTTGGGGTTTAGGGTTTAGGGTTTTGGCCTTTAGGGCTTGGGGTTTAGGGTTTCGACGTCGGCAGTGGGTTTAGGGCTTAGGGCTTCGGCCTTTCCCATGATTGGAACCACAAACTCCAAGCCCAAGAGTTTCGGGTTTGGGATGTTTTTGAAAGGCTTGAATGTTTGAGTTTTCATTTAACATGCCTCGGATTGAACGGAACCACCCAACTCCAAAACCCTAAGCTCCGAGGCCCTAAACCTTAAACCTCAACAGTCTGACTCTTAAATCCCGAGCTCTGGAATCCCACGTCCCCAAGGCCCCCTAGCACTGGAATGAAGCCCTCAACCCTAAGCTCTTAAAGCCTGTAAAACCAGCTCTACACACCGACGAGATCCCTTGAAAAGGACCTTCACACTAGGGTTTGCGTTGGCCTAAACCGTAGCCCTTCACCTTAAGCTGGGTTCCTGTTTCCTTACTTTAAGTTACCATGATAGGGACAGGGATCTATAGTTGACTAAGGGTTTCTTTATTATGGTAATACCCCCTTGGCAAAAACCCAGTAGCCTCAACCGCTTAGGTTCCGAGCTGAGATCGGCAGCATCGTGTTCCTTTGCCCAGATCGACAGACGGACGCTTTCTTAGCAAAGCTAGGTGGGTCTAGGGTTTAGGTGTTTTCTTTTCACACTTGTTTGGTGCTCTCCTGAAAGCAATGTGAAAACATAGGAACAGACCGCCCGTGCGTATTCGATAGCCCTGATGCCCTGTCTGTTTGGTGTGCCCTCATCAAAACTGGTTCATAGGACAAAGGCCACCCTTACACATTCTGAAAGGGACAAAAGGCGCGGAGCCACGGCTCAAAAGCAGGGGTCAGGGGCTTACGGCCTTCCAGGATTCGGCGCTGAAGGGCTTGAGGGCTTCGGGCTTAGGGATTTAAGGGCTTTCTAGGTGCAAGGACTTGCGGGTTTAAGGATTTCAGGGCATGCGGCTTGAAGGATTCGGCTTAGGATTTCAGGGATTTGGGCCTGAAGGGTTTACCGGCCAACCCCGAAAGCCCTTAATAAGACCCTTATACAGCCCTTATCCCAATCTTACAGGACCCTTATCAAGCCTAGAAAATTCTTATGAACTTCTGGAAATCCTCATAAACCCATGGATTATTGAAGGGCCGAAACCCCGAGGGTCTAGGGGCTCTAGGTTCAAGCCCAAGCCAAACTGACGAGTAGCTTCACTTGCCAAGGCCACCAGCTACGGTCTTCACCTCAACAAGCGTAGAGACTGGGCAGCGGGCCTGTAAGAAGTCGCACAGCCGAGGAACCGTCACTGCCTTGAGGTCAAAACCCCCCAGCCAGTTGGGCCCATCTGTCCTCCAATGTGCAGCTAATGCAAAACAGTGTTCGGTCCGTGCCAAAGCAGACGGAGCGGGACTGCACATCACAACAAGGTTTGGCCAAGGAGAAGGGGCAGCTACTTGTGTTGCTCTGCAGCCACCCGCTTGCAAAGACCCCGCCATTACTTTATGATTCAAACCTCCATACAGAAACCCTTTACCCTGCCCCCCAACACGCTATTCCAGAGCCCTACAACACAAACCCGGAATCCCCGAATGGCTGAATGGTTGTCCACAAGGACACAGACGGTGACGGCATTTGCGAGCCGTGCCCGTACATGATACAGTGGCTCGGACGGGTTTTCTTCACAGTAGTGTAGGGTTAAGAGGTACAGGCATAGGCGGTACAGGGATCGGGCTCCCTTTAAAGTACCGCACCTACTTCTATGAGGACTTCCCACAACACCTCATTCACGGGTCTCCACCGTCAATAAGGATCCTCTAGAAAACACTATAGATTCTTTCACTTCCTGCCACACCCCAATATGTTTTCACATAAAAGCCTGATGTCCCGACAATTAAAAATGGATCGTAGTCTTTGGCTTCTCGGATGTGTCTTCGTTTTTCTGTCAGGCCGAGGTTTCTACCCTAGCCGACCCCAGACCCTAAACCTCTATAACACCCTATATGAACACTTCTAAGAGAACCGACGAAAACCTGCGAGGCCTTTTAGGTCGCACCCCTGACCCTCAACCCTCAACCCCATCAACCCTGACAGTTTGGGAGCTCCGGGTTCCGTATTTCAGGTTCTGGGTTCGGCTCGAGGGACTGATGGGTTTCACTGGGTTTTTTGGGCGAGTTTAAGGGGGCGGGGTTGCTGGAATTTATACAGGGTTTGTTTGGGGGTTTTCGGGTTTGCAGGGGGGGATTGTTGGTATAGGACTCATACGGATTTGAAGGATTTTCGACGGGCTTGAGATGCGTTAAAGGGCTTTTTAGGTAGGGGTATATTTGCGCAGTCATTGTCAAGTAAACAAGAAACCCAAACCCAAGCCCCGATAGAGGCACTTCTAGAAGAACACCCTAAAGGGAGCGCAAAGAAGCCTTAAAGGAACCGTTGAAGGAACCCTGAAACCCTAAACCCTCAAAGCCAAACCTTAAACCCTAAACCGGCCACAAAGTCTCGTAGTTTGATCTTCGAGGACTTCGGGGGACGAGCCCGGGGCGCAGTGTGTCATCGACGGGCTTCGGGTCTTGGAGGCCATCTGTTGGCCACCAGGCCTGATTTAATTGGCCCTAAACCCTAAACCCTAAACGGTGGGGGGGGGGGTTGTAGGCTCTATACACATAAGGGGCTCAGAAGGCGTTGGTAGGGGTCTCGGTTCTAAGGGTTTTTGGTCGGATATTCTGGGGGGTGGGGGCGGGTCTTTAGCTTTTGCAGGGCTCAACAAACATTTTATTTTAGCAATGCTTCGCGGCGTCCGCCTCGTCAAGCCATGTCAGTTTTTTTCAGTGGCGACTGAGCTGGACCTCCCAGACAGTGGACAGTGATGAAGTGGACAACCCCTCCGATGGTCAAGCCGTGTCAGTTTCAGAATCTGCTGAGTCTGAGCAAATCCAGGTTTCCAGCCTCTGAAGTGGCGGTTGAGCTGCCCCTCCAGACAGAAGTGGACAATGCCTCCGATGGTCCTCAAGCTATGTCAGCTTCTGAAGTGGCGATTGAGCTGCCCCTCCAGACAGAAGTGGACACTGCCTCCGATGGTCCTCAAGCTATGCCAGCTTCTGAAGTGGCGACTGAGGTGCCCCCCCAGACAGAAGTGGACAATGCCTCCGATGATCGTCAAGCTATGTTAGCTTCTGAAGTGGCGATTGAGCTGCTCCTCCGGACAGAAGTGGACAATGCCTCCGATGATCGTCAAGCCATGTCAGCTTCTGAAGTGGCGATTGAGCTGCCCCTCCAGAGAGAAGTGGACAATGCCTCCGATGGTCCTCAAGCCGGTTGAGTGGCGATTGAGCTGCCCCTGCAGACAGTGGACAGTGATGAAGTGGAAGACTGCTGGGGAAGCAGCGATGAGGAGGAGGATGAGGAGGATACCGAAGAGCGGATCGACAACTCTTCTCGGGCCGAGCTGATTCTTCATTCATCAACAATGGCACTTCGAGTTGATGCTCTTGAGGCTCGAGATGTTCGCGAAGAAGCCGTTCGTATAGTCATGGCACACCTTGATCATCTGTCGGGGGCTCAAGGACAAGAGCTTGACCCAGATTCAGCCGCCTCTCACCCGCAGCTCGCGTGTGGTGCTGTGAAGGTCATCAGCGGGTTGATGTTGAAAAGCATGCAGTGATTTTGTCTTCTAATTTTCCAAACTGCGCCTGGGCAACCTTGGCCGGTTTCAATTATAACGTAAACTCCTTCCGAAGCCGACCTTGCGCACCTGAGGATTCTTGGTTTCCGGATTGGGGGCACTCCAACGAACTGGAGACGGGCAGGCGACATTGTCATGCGCTTCGATGTACATTCAGGACCAGGGCGCATCCTTCATCCTGTTGATCTTTCTGGCCACCGCTAGACAATGGTGGAAACAGTGAGGTTTCCAGGCCGTGGAAGGGGTTTGCCGCTTCTGTCGCTACAAGCATGGCTGCCGAACCGGAGAGAGCCTACGAGCCCATTGCAGCACGACTCGGATTGTTGCTGCTGTGGTGGAGGCGACGCCTGGATTCACCGACCCTTTCTCCTTTTGACTGCAAAATCGGTGACTTTGGGCTTGCACTCAGGTGGCAGGATAACTTGGCACGCAGAGTCGCAGCAGCAGAAGCAAGATATCCCATTGCCATAGAAAACCGGACTTGTGAGGAAAAGCCATGCCATGCCGTCGTCCCACAAACCATTGTTGGTGGCAGCGCACGTTGCTAAAGACAAGTGCGACACGTTAAGCGGAAAATGCGTAGTCAGTTTAAGACGCAGGAAAACACGCGAACAGGATTCAGACAAAAGGCAGTTTCTTCTCACCTTCGTGCGTAAGTAGCAGCAAGTTGTTGGTGCAGCAGAGTCCAGCCAAGGTAGACCCTGGCCTGCTAGTTGTGGACCTCCGAAAGCAGCCAATAGATTTTCACACGCAAGTGTGGCTTTTCCTTTGTTGCTGGAAGGGAGAGGTCCGAAGTCCCATTGGCACACATGAAAGCCGGCAATGAATCCAAAAACAAACGGGCGGTTTTCGTGGGGTGAGTTGGCAGGGGGGGGGGGCGGGGTACGGCGGGGGTGAGTACAGACAAAAACGCCCAAATTTGGGGGGTGCGCCCGGCAAGCCCATTCTCCGCCAGCAGAATCTACCGACGTAGGCGTTGCCAACCCGCAATCCACCTGTTCGGGGACGGGAGGGGTCAGTGCTCGCAAAAACGTGGCTACTGGAGGGGATTAGGGAGCTCATGGGAACCTCTGACTTTTCGGCCGGGGTCGAGGGCGATGGGGTTTGAGGTTGAGGTTTTACGGATCAGGTTTTAGGATATAAGTGACTCAGTGATTAGACTTTGGCTTTATAAAAGTTAGTTTTTTGGTAAAACGCATTCATTTAGCCCAAAGTGGGCCTTTGCAGCAAGATACGGTTGAGACTGAAAGATGCAGGCGGTATGCTTGAGAATTTGTCCTTGCCAAATGCAGCTGTGTGACGTTGCATGAGAAACTACCATCGGCCCAGCCAACGACATCTTATGAAGGACGTGGTTTGGTTCGAAAGCCAGCTTATGGGCCCCCAATTACGAAACCGTAAGCCCCTAAATCCCTGCACCCTGAGCCCGACACCCCTAAAACCCGTAGGCCCGAAACCCTAAGCACATTCTGCAAGGAGTACATCAAGGCTGTAGTTGACGAACAAGAGGAGATGCGTTTCCGGAGCCTGAGCACCTGTACGGGTTTGCTGAGGTCCCCAAGAAAGCTGGGAAAGTCAACACACGCACGATTTCTGGATTTTTGCTGGTTGGCTTTTGGTTCTTTAGCATTGCAGTTGGAGTGTTAGGTGAGGTTTGTTAAGGGGGGGTTCAGGAAATCAGCCAAAAGTCAGAGGGTATGGTGAGGCTCGTAGATCCGCCCGCCCCTAGACCCTTGACATTCTGCGCCCAAATGCCAGACCCTCAAAGTGTAAGCCCTAAAGCACAATGCGTTTCTGCCCAAAGCCCAAGGTGGTTCGTCAGCACGCTGCAGCTTGGCTGCTTGCGGTGGGGTTTTCGACATGGACATGAATCACTTGATACGTCGGGCTTTAACGACAAGAGGTTGGAAGGTTTTGTGTACAAGATAGGAATCTACGGTGGGCAACGGGGCATGAGGAGTTTTCTGTCATGCATGTATGGAACAAGCTATGCTGATGTTGGTGTGAACATCATCGGCAGGTTTGGCGGCTGCTGCTGTTGCTGCTGCTGCTGCTGCTGCTGCTGCGCTTGTGTTAGTCATTGTTGGTGCTCGTGTTGTGTTGCTTGTTGTGTTGCTGGTGTTGGTGCTGGTGCTGGTGTTGGTTATGGTGCTGGTGTTGGTGCTGGTGTTGGTGTGGCTGCTGCATCTGGATGATGACGGTGACGATGAGGATGATGATTATCAGGATGAGGGAGTGTATACTAAGCTTTATGGTTGATCATGATGGCAATGACGATGCTGACTGTTTTGCTGGGTGACGATGATGGTTTTGGTGATGATGTTCTTGCTGCACATGACATTTTTTGACGGCGAAGAACGGCAAGAAGAGGAACATCAGAAGTAGCAAGGATAGTTGCATGATGATGATGATTATGAAGAACAGTGGTGCGCCTGCCATGCCGGTGGCTTCATGAGCAGATGGAGCACAGTGTTGATGCTGGCAGCTTGAAGCTGCAAGTCGTTGTTCCGTGTGTAGTGTAGTATCAAGGGTAGCTCCGTAAGTTGGGGTCTTTCTGCAGATCCACAACATACGGCTTCGCCCGGATGATAAGGAAGCCTAGAAAGGCACCGATTTAATGACCGCAGTATATTGTGGTTTAGGGGTTAGCTTAATGTTTTGGGCTTGGGATTTAAGGTTTCTGGTCTCTCTCGGTCAAGAGTACCACTGTCTGCAGGTTCTCCTGCGTAGTTGAATTGGCCGGTCCCGTGAATAATGCACCATGAAGATGCGACGTGGAACAAACGAGTGCACACAGGCATAGTATCGCTATTAATAAGTTAAGTGGAGTATTTGGGTCGCATTTGGCGGAGTCATGCTTCTTTCGGTGCGCTGAGGAACATCAAGAATCCTGGCATTACCGTGATGGCTGTCGTTGCATCATCTTTACTCTCGCCACGACTTTCAGCATTTCTTGCCACAGTTATGACTGATCCTTACATCGTGCTTGTTCCAAATGTGATACATGGCTTTTGCTTGTTGGTTCATGAAGCTTCTGCTGCTTTGACTGTGAGGGTGCCGATGGTTCTGCTTACCTAGCGTTGCTCCTGCTGCTCCTGCTGCTGCTGCTGGTAGAACTTCTACAAAAAGCCCAGCTCAATCCAATGTAGCAGCATACCTTTTTGGGGTTTGCTTTTGTTGTGGAGTCGGTAAAAGGGACCTTTTCGATGCTTGTGCCGTCCTCCTGCTGTTCTTGTCCTGCCAACTGCCAGGTTCTTCATGGCCTTTACAGCAAGCTTCCGGTGCAGCAGGACACGATTTAAACCCTGACCCTAAAAGCACCCAAAACCCTAAACCACAGACGTCCAAAGCTATGGCGAAAAAAAAGGTGTTCAAAACCAAAGCTCGTAAACCCGAAACAGGTATAAGCCCTAAGCCCTAAAGCCTAAATTCTACACCACGAGACCCCAAACAAATATAAGCCCTGAAAAGCTTTTTGTGTTAAGGCATAATAGACTACAGTGTACCAAGCTATGCCTTAATATACGACAATTAACGCTTTGTATACGACAATAAAGCATAATTTACCAAAATATACCGTAACATACTACTACATACTATCGAGCCATAATATGTATATATTTATGTCAATATACGATAATAAGCTTTTTAATACATACGATAACAAACTATAACATACATATATGTATATATCTACTATTATTGTTGCTATTACTATTATTATTGTGAGTAGAATAGCAATAATAAAAATAATTATTATAATTCGATAACAAACTTTTATATAATGCACTACAATATAGTATCAAGATACGATAACTACCTTAATATACTACAACATACTGCTAATGTACGACGATGAACCTTAATATACCAAAAAAACCATAATATACGAAAATGTGCCATCAAGTTACGATAACAAAGCATAATATTCCCCTTCCGAGAGGACGGTGGGGTTCGAAGGCATCCCAAGGCTCATCGAGGACATCTCCCAAGAGTCGGGGAAGCTGGTAGTCACGGCGGCTTTGGCTAAGGGAATAGGGTTTAGAGCTTAGGGAATAAAGGAATCGTAAAAAACCCTTCGCCCACACAGGTCAGAACTTTATCGGAGATTTTAGGGTCTGGGATGGAGGATTAGTGTTTTGTGAGGGCTGTGGGGGGTTAGGGTTTTCCGGGGTAAGTAGGGTTTATCTGTTGATTTTAGCTCGCCTGAGTTTTTTTGGTGTTCACCGTTGTAGAGTTTCTTCGGTGTGTTGACAGTTTAGTGAAGAGGCCTGTATCCACATAATGCAGGGGCCTGAACAGTCAGTACTGTTATTCCCCAAGCCGCAAGCCCTAAACCTCATATAGTTGTAGTACAAATACCCGGAAGCTTTAACAGGGTTTTTAGTCCGCGTGCGTTTAGGGACGGGTTTCCCACCCTTTGCAACCTTCCAGACTATCCCCAACTCAGGTTTGGGCTCACGGCTCAGGGCCTTCGATTTAGCTGAGCTTTCGGGTTTGAACCGCAGAGCTTGTGGTTCTTGCTAAGCAACCGAATAGCGTAAAGCTTAAGCTCTTAAGCCCCGTAGCCAAAGCAGAGTCCCAGGTCGTCGGTCATCACAACCTCTTCATGCTCGCACCGAATCACTCGGTACCCGTGACTCTCTGGTTCACGGGCCACTTCCTCCTGGTGCCCTCCGCAGCAATTAGCTTCTAGGGTCCTCAATCAGGGTTTGACAGGCTCCCATATTGTTTGATAAGAGGTTCTACAAAAAGGATATCATGAGGTTCTAGATGGGCTGGTCCGAAGCGCCTCATGCTGTTGCGAAGTTTGGGGGATCTGCTGCGCAATAGCAAAACGGGCTACCGCGGAACCGGGTGCCCTTAACCCTGAACCCGACCGTCGGATTTCTTCAACACGTGATTTTCGGGGTCGTTCAAATAAATTCTACTGCTTGGGGTCTTGTACGAGTTTCTGAAACTGCCATGTGTATGTATGTATGTATGTATGTATGTATGTATGTATGTATGTGTGTATGTGTGTATGTAGGCAGGCAGGTAGGTAGGTAGGCATGTATGCGTAAACAGCTGAGTTACAAACCCGACATTCTTGAGCTTTATTGGAGTTCTAAAACAACTCAGCGGTCGGCACCTCGGCCATACTTGCATGATTCGCTTCCATGCACTTCTTTTCACGTATCTACCCAGGGACCTCTGGTTTGTCCCAACGGTCAAGCACAGAACTTTCACTCCGAACTCTAAAGCATGAGCTCTTCGCCGAAAAGCCCGGCGCACCGCAAAAACATCCCAAACCCTACACCTCCACCCCCCAAGCACAAACCAGAACCTCAAACCCTAAACCACCAAGCAAGCACAGAACCCAAAGCTTCCCGAGGATTCGGCGCCCTCGAAGAGAATCGACTTCCGTGCCTTGGAGTCCAAGAAAGGGAATCGGCCGATGGGAATGTTGGTAACATTCCCATCATAACCTGTAGGGTTTAGGGTTTTGGGTTTAGGGTTTAGGGTTTTCGGTAGAATTATACACGGACCTCGGGAGGATATTACTATAATTTTGTCCGCAATGTAGCGTAGGGTGAAAGTTTAACATGTTAACAAGCAGTGCTACTGCACAGGTTTTTGGGGTGATATGGAACCTATACAAGTTCGGCGAAGGTTTAGGGTTTCAGCGTGAGGGCGTTAACACCTAAGTTTTCATCCATCACGTATGAAACCCTCCAGCCTTATGACACGCAATAGAAACCATGTGAAGCCCAAGCACCGGACAACACCACACAACTCCATCATTCAACGCACACCCTGAACCTCAAACCCCGGCCCAAATCTCAAGTCCCGAAGCCTTAGAGCCTAGCCGAGAACCTAGGACATAACCCATCTAACCCTAAGCCCTGAACCTGAAAACCCAGACCTAAAGTCACAACCGTCTTGCTACCTAAAGCCTTTTAGCTGCCTTCCTTATGGAAACCCTGCCCCACAAGTCCCCAAACCCACCAGAAACCTCACACCCAGATCCCCAAAAGCCTGCGTAACCCTGAAACCCGAGAAGAACTTTTGGGGGAAACTTAGAAGGGACCTTGAACCCTTATAGCACAAAAAAAACCCCGGACATCCATCCCCGAAGCCCTAAACCTAAAGCTTAAACACCGACAAGGGAAACTTAACGCAGCACCTATGCCACCCTGAACTCCAAACACTAAAGCCACAGCCACAAGTCTAGAACCTTAACGCAACAGGGGTTTAGGGTTTAGGGCAGCCAGCAGTTTCAGGTGCCCGACCTCTCCACTTCAACACCTTGGAGCTCTTGGATTCCCAGGGTGAGCCGCTGGACTTCCGCGCCGACACTTCCATGGGCCCCTCTTCGGAACGGTTGTAAAGGGTCTTTGCAAGGGGTACCCTCTTCCCAACGTTTCAAAGGGTCTTTGTAAAGGGGTTCACCAGATTTTCTGCATCACGTGTTTTGATGAAGGTTTATGCAGTTTCGGAGCGCTTCGCAGGATTTTGTCACGTTTTGCTAGAGATTTTCTGGGGTTGTATATCGGGGCTCCCTGAATCAGGATACCTTAAGTAGGGTTCCTGAATTTACTTGATCTTGCTATTTAGGTTGAACCCCGCCATGTTTGCGCAAACCAGCCATCATGAGGCACGAACGGTAAACCTGGGGTTGTACGTACCTTAGTTAGGTTACTCGAGTAGCAAATCTACGTAAACCTATTTGCTAAATGTCTGAGAATCTGACTATACTTATACCCTCGATCCCTAAGCCTCGCAAGCCTGATCAAGCCCGAATTCCAAAAACTTAAAACCCCACATTGGTGCACTGCAAAGCATCGAGTATAGAGGTCCGAATATTTGGAAGCAGTATCCCGTTCTAGCTTCCATACGATTATTGAAACGAGCATACTCTACGCGAAGACCCTATTACAAGAGTAAGGGCCCAAACAGCCTCATAGCACCCCGTAGAACACCGTGCCGACACTTCTATGGAACCCAAAGCAGAGCCGCAAAAGGGAACCCTCAAACGAAGCCCCACCCTAAACCCCTACCCTCAACGGAGCCTTCAAATAGGGACCCTCTTGCAGAACCCTACAGGCCCTAGAGTACTCTATAATGGTATCCTTAAGGGTTCTTCGATAGCGATAGGGTCCCCTGAAGAGTTCCTTTAAGGACCACTATAACTTAGGGATTGGTTCCTGCAAGGATTCCTTTTTGAGGGCCCCCTTAATCTAAGGGTTGCTTTGAGGGTTCCTGTAAGGGTTCCGTTCGGGGTTCCCTTCAAGGAGCCACTGAAGCTCCTGTAAGCTTCGGAAGTCTTCCATTCGGACACTGTCAGGTCTTCTGCGCCTGTCGATGCCCCGGGCGATGTTTCATTCTGCCCTCAGAGGGGCGACTCGCCTCGTTAGATTCGGGGGTGGGCGTTGAGGGTTGGGGGTGAAGGGGTTGAGGGTTTGGGCTCGGCTCTGGGGTCTGCGCTTAGGGTTTTGGGGCCATTATACTATAGTTATAGCAAGGAAGCCCCACAATAGCATCTGCAACTATTTAGGCCCCTGCATTACCTTTGCAATAGAGTTTCGTTGTGTTTTTTCCAGGCTCTAGGCTCTTGTCTCTGAGGGGCTGCTTCGGGGTCAGGGCTGGGAGCGTGGAGTGTTTGGGTCTAAGCTTTTCACTTAAAGGCTTCGAAATCTTCAGCGACCCGCGTCAGGGTTCGTTCGGGAAACAGGGTTCGATGCTTTTGGAATATGTTCGTAGCTTATTCGTGGTAAAGAGATTCCTTAGAAAACCAATACGCAGCTCTCATGCCTGCAGTCTTGAGAGTGCCGCAAAGGGATTTTCGAAATCGAGAACAGTCACAAGCTGAAGCTTTACATGCTGAGAGGATCAAACGACGAGGCGCCAAAGTTCGAACTTGAGCCTGCATTAAACCCGAACCACTACATTCCGATACCAGACCCCAACATCCAAAGCTCCAAGTCCTGGACCCCACACCCCAATTCGTAAGGCAAACCCATAACCCCAACCCGCTTTAAACAAATTCCCAAACCCCAAAGCCTAATGCCTTAAATCCAGAGTCGAATCATAAGAAGCACACGCCGCCAGGGTGGCGTATCCTGAACAAAAAACGCCCACACAGTTTTGAGGAACGTCCGGCTTGGGGTTTTAGGTTATTCAGATGTTCCTCACCCCCCGAACAAGATCCCCGTGAGAATTCTAACAACTCCTATACTGCCCTCGTAACTCAAACAAGCATTGCTAAGACCCTGCACAAAGCCCTTTCAGAGGCCACTTCAAACCCTAAAACCTGATTCGTGTAAGAACTTCATATCGAGCACTATGGAACCCTACAGTGCAGAGCCCTTAGTATAAATTGTAAGCCAGGTGCAGATTCCGCTGTTTGTTCAGATTCTGACACTGGCAACTGCCTGGCTTTTGCTGAGCAACCGGTCACAGATTCAGGGGTTGGAATTTAGGTTTTTGGGTCTGTTGACATAAGTAAATAAATACATACACATACATATAAATAAATAAATAAATAAATAAATAAATATATATATATATATACACATAAATAAACAAATGAATAAGTATATATATATATATATATGTATATGTATATGTATGTATATTTATTTATTTACATAAGCAGACACATCAGTAGAAGTGTGTGTGTGTATATATATATATATATATTTGACATGAATGTATATACGTTTCTTGAGGTTTGGGGTTTCAGGTGCTCAGTTTCAAACTTCAAAATACGCAGGCCAAGTGCGAACTGAAAGTGCATGCTGCAGTCCGCAACCAAAGCCCGTGTCCCGAAAGTGCCGTGTCGCAAAGCGTGTCCCTTGGTTGTAGAAGAACCTGTCAACTATGGGAAATGCAACAAATAAGAAATGCAACAAGGTCCTTCGACGTAAGATTCAGTTCCGCAGCAACGACGGGGGCTGGCTTTCGATTCAAGTTAATTAGAAAGTACTAACAGTAACAATAGCAAAAAAGGAATAACAGTAATAAGAACAAGAAGAACAATAATCAATAGATGAATAACATTAGTAGCAACAGTAATGATCGCACTAAGAATAACATCAGTTTTAATAATGCGAAGAATAATTGCAAATATAGAAATCATAAAAACAATAACAATAGTAACACATAACAGCAAATAACAACAACGGTATTTAACATAACAACAATAAGAATAAACTCAACAACAATAACAACAAACGAGATTATGATGATGATAGCAGTAAGAATATGGGTAGCAGTAATCATTACCTTAATCATTGTAGGGCTCCAGCCGGACAAGAAGCTTTTGGGATCGAGGTCGGTGGTTGAGGGCTTTAGGTTTAGGGTTTAGGTTTTATTTTTAGGATTTGGGGTTTCGATGGGTTTTGAGCTTTAGGGGGGTTTCATAAGTGGTTTGAGGATGTTGGGGTTGTGGGTTTTTAAGCTTAGGCTTTTGGGGTCTAGCTTTTAGGACTTACGCAGTTCAGGGTTTCGGAGGGGTTCGGAATCCGAAACCCTCAACCCTACAAGCCGCAGCTGTTAATTCATAGATTAGAATTTCACAACGTTCTGTAAGGTTATGGGCGGGGGGTCTCCTCCTGAGTAACAGGAGGAAGGTGCCTTTGTTCAGGGGCTACTGCGAACCATGTCATATAGTACCCGAGAATGTAAACTCCTCTGGCCTCCTGTAAAGCCATTCTATAACATCCTGTGAGGCCTTCTAAGACCCGGTGAAAACCCGTGTAACAACCGCATGAAAACACCTGACAAAGCTGACGAAAACCCCAACAATATAGGGGCCTCAAGAATTACCTATCTTATTTTGGGGGCTCCTCATTATAATCAACGTATAAATGGCCCCAAAAGCCCTTGTCTAATCATTAAGGCCCCTACATTAAAGCCTGTCATAAAGCCCGTGTCCAAGGCTTCTTGTTGCAGCCCTCCTTTCCAGAAGTGCTGGTGGCAGCTCGGATTGTGTTGCTGCCTTAATATAGGGGCCTTCATAATCTTAAATGGGGCTTGGGGTATAGTATACTTTGATGAGAACAAGGAGCCCCCAAAAGCCTATTCTTATTATTAAGGCCTCTATACTATACAGGTTTCTATGGGGTTCCTTTATTTGCAAAGGTTTGGTGTTCAGGCTTCAGGACGAGAGCTTTAGGGCTCAGGCTTCGTTAGTTCAAGCTCGAGGGCTTGGAGATACGAGGCTTGCGATTCAATCTGCTGACAGTTTGGCCCTATACCCTAAACCCTAAACCCTCAACCCTAAACCCTCAACCCTAAACCCTAAACCCTAAATGGCTCAAGCTTTTTGCATCAAGGCCTCGAAGCCTCGTCCCGGCTTCCCTCAGAGGGCATCCCGGTGGGCGATGGAGGCTGTGCCTAGGGAGGTGAAGCCGCTGCTGCTGGAGGAAACCTGGCGCTGGTATGGGCCGAATGACCCCGTCACTCTGGAGGACGTAAAGCAGTCCGGGGCCACAGGCATCGTCACGGCGCTACACCAGATCCCCATCGGAGAGATCTGGAGCGAATCCGCCATCCTCGAGCGCAAGAAGATGTTAGAGGATTCCGGCTTCACCTGGTCCGTGGTGGAGTCCGTGCCAGTGCACGAGAGCATCAAGCTTGGCAAAGCGGACCGCGACAAGTACATCGAAACCTACAAGCAGACAGTGCGAGATCTGGGCAAGTGTGGCATCCGCTGCATCTGCTACAACTTCATGCCTGTCTTGGACTGGACTCGGACCGACCTCACCCGCCGGTGGCCGGACGGGTCAGAGGCCTTGGCGTACGACGCAGACGAGCTAGCAGCCTTCGATCTGTACATTCTGAAGCGCGCCGGCGCCGAGAAGAAGTACGAAGCTTCGGCCCTGGCGCGGGCCAAGGCCGTATTCGAGAAGATGGACGATCAAGCGCAGCAGGCGCTTCAGCAGAACATCATTGCCGGCCTTCCCGGGCGGATGGTCGAGGCCTACTCCATCGAAGAGTTCCGCAGCGCCATCGCGGAGTACGAGAACGTCAAGCCCGCGCAGATGCGCGAGAACTTGGCATACTTCCTTCGCAGCATCATCCCTACCTGCGAGGAGGCCGGCGTCTTCATGGCCATCCACCCCGACGACCCTCCGAGACCCATCCTCACCAGGTGAAGCGCCGAATGCACCAGATCGTGACCGCTCTCAGGGACACGGAGGTGAAACTCGTCGGTGGGAAACGCATGTATGCCACTTACTCAAAGAAGAAAGGGATATAGCCGGCCACGCGGCGTGGATCAAACGTGCAGTCCGACAAGCAGCGCCTCGCTCAGCTGGGCTTGCCCGGCGGCGCTGTTTGTAGTAAACGTTAGGGGTGGGCCTGGGAGGGTTATCTATTCCTGATTTGAGGCCCCAAGGGGGCCGACCGAAGAGAACAAAAGAAGAAAGGAGATTTGAGATGTTTTGAGATTTGATTTATATTTTCTATTTACTTTACAGATAGTTCTGCGAGATGTTGCTTGTGTCAAGAACCAATCCCATCACTCAGTGTATGAAGCAGAGTTCAGGCTCAGGAGAAAATTTTGTCTCTAGGGGACTAGATTTCACAACAAGCTTTGTGACGCATTGAGTTGTTGCAGGCTACGTTTGAGCAAACTTCATAGCCGTAATAAGAGCCTGTAGCGGGTGGGCAGCCTCGCGGCCCATGGACGGCCATGAGTGGCACAGGTCTCAGCTGGCCCGCGCTCGTGCAGCCCTACCGCAGTAGACTTGAAGAGTGGTTTGGCACACCTGAGAAGCTCCATGCATCTTTCGATACAAAGGGGGAGTTAGTTCATCTTCTTGCAGCGTGTGACCATACCCTTTCTGAGTCAACAAGGGACATGATTGCTGATGCATTGCTTGAGTGGCAGCGGGATACTTTAAGCATCGTCACGAGTGGGCGCAGGGAGTCCAGGAGGCGTCTTACAGAGTCCTTGTCCGTGTCTGGGTCTTCCCAGATCAGCTTGCNNCATTACAATCAGATCACTTTGCAAAGTCCGCTTGCTCTGCTTCCAGCCCTTAGAAAGCGCAAACTAGCTGTTGATAGAGCGGTCGACAGGGGAGCCAGGGCCACCGAAGAGGCCAGGCTGAAGAGAGAATACGCCCTTCGCCTTGCAGCCATCATACAGGAGGCCAGGTTGCCAGTTTGTAAGGTTTTGGCAGGGGTGAATGATGCAGAGGAAGCTTGGCCGCGCCTGTTCGGCACCCGGCGTTCAAAGACCCTCCGCAATCGCCTTCGTTCTTGGAGCAAGTTTCGGGAGTGGTTGATCTTCAGTCGGGGCAGGCCTTATCCCGAAGGGGTTGCAGATGTCCTGGATTTTGCAGCCGAGAGGTTCCGTGAGGGCTGCGGCAAGACAGTGCTTGACAGCTTTCAGGCATCCTTGAGCGTCTTGGAATCGGTAGGGCGTGTGCAACCTTCTTGTCAGATATCGCAGGATCCCACTTGGCAAGCGCAGCTTAAGAGCTATACTGCAGACTTGGTTTCGAAAGCTCCCCCAGAGCAGCCGGCAAGCATGCTTACCACAGCCATACTTGTATCGCTTGAGATTTTCATCTGCACGCAGGGCCTGCCAGCTTACCTCAGGGCATTGGGGTTCGTCTGCTTGCTTATGGTGTGGGGTTCACTCCGCGCCAACGATGTTCAGGGGCTGTTGCCTCAGACCATGACATTGGACGAGCGCGGGCTCTCCATCAAAGACTACGGGCCCGGACAAGAGGACACATACAGTCAAGGTCTTCGTAGAAAGGCACATTTCGCTTACAGGGCATGATTGGATGAAGTGCGGTTTTGATCTTTGGAGAGACTTCGACTTCCAAAGGGATATGATTATTTGGTTCTGAAGGCCAGCGAGGACTTCTCTGAGCCGGTTGAGAAGCAGGTTTCTTCTGCTACCGTTGCGCTTTACATCCGCAAAGGCTGACGTTGCGGAGGGGAAAAGAGGCGCTTAAAAAAAAAAAACCTAAACCCTAAACCCGGCCCTGGGCCTCGGAATCTAGGGGCTTGCACTCTGCACAGTGAGCTGCGGAAAGTTGGTACCTTAGGACCTCGGCCAGGGACTAGTGCTGGGCATCCCTGTGCTGCACCCCTTAAATGTAACTGGATGCGGATGTTCCACGTTTTTTTTTTGTTGTACATCCTAGGACCTATAGTAGAAGCCAGAAAGTTGGAACATTCGCCTGGTTCCCTTAAGGCAAAATATCAGGGATCCTAGCACCAATCATCCTAAATCCATATTCCAACTTTCTGGGGTTCGCTGTAAATGCGACTCCTTCCGCATGGTACGTGTTGTTTTCAGTTTAGGGTTTACGGTTTGGGGTTCTGGTTATAGGTTTGAGGACTGGGGGGTTACGGGTTTGGGGGAATCGGTTTCAGTTCGTCAGCATCCGCATGGACATCATAGACATATGTCAAAGCCCCTGAATCCTAAACACTAAGACCAAACCGTAGACTGCAACTTGAGAACCCTAGACCCCAAGCCCTTAACCCTTTGTCCCGAAGCCCGTAGACCCTGAACCACGACCCTCCCAAACCCACAAACCTGATCCTCCTCCTCTTTTGCTTTTCACTTTCCAGGCTTGAACCCCAAACCCTTCATCCTAACCCTGAAAACCCAAAAAACAGAAAGCCCTGTGCAGTTACCCCAAACCCTTCATCCTAACCCTGAAAGCCCAAAAAACACAAAAAGCCCTGTGCAGTTGGTGGTGGGCCCTTTATCCTTCGCGATCGCCATCTCCACACTTTGGCACTTCCTGCTGCGGCCGGAAAGCTCGAGACCGGGCTGCAAAGTCTGGGCTTAGGGCGGTTTAATTGGGGTTTAGGGTTTAGGGTTTAGGGTTTAGGGGTTAGGGTTTAGGGGTTAGGGTTTAGGGGTTAGGGTTTAGGGGTTCGGGTTTAGGGTTTGGGGTTCAGGGGTTAGGGTTTAGGGGTTAGGGTTTAGGGTTTGGGGTTCAGGGGTTAGGGCATAGGGTTTAGGGTATGAGGCTCTGAGCTTTCGACTGTGCTTTCTACGCTAACCATGAAGGCCCCTCGGTTAGCCCAAGGAACCAAAACTCTAGACCCGTGAGGGGTTTAGGGTGTCCTTGAGGCCTGCAAGACTTCGGGAGTTTTTATGGGTTTAGGGTTTAGGGTTTAGGGTTTAGGGTTTAGGGTTTAGGGTTTAGGGTTTAGGGGTTTAGGGTTCGGGGAGTCAGCTTTTTGTTGCATATTTAGGTGGTTTTTGTATAGGGTTCAGGCTTTAGGATTTTGGATTCCGGGGTTGGCTCCTGGGATCCTTTACAGCATACACCCGAAGCCGAAAGCCCTTCAAATCCGGAAGCCTAGGCCTAAGATAAGGGGCCTTGATAATTTTATTCGGGGGTTTTGGCGCCCAATTAAGACCTATACTTATAATGAGGAACTCCGCAAAACATAAGGAACCCCCCAAAAAGTCTTGGTACTTATTTAGGCCCCCCGGCCTTAACACCACCTCTAAGCACCAGGCTCGCCCCACGACCCAAACCCCCGGATCCCAGGCCCTAAACCCGAAATTTGAACCCTGAATGGGCTTGGGGTTTAGGCTTCAAACCAGGCTCTCTCGACGCCTGCAGCGGTTCGCGGTGGAGCTCAAGAAGCGGCGTCCTCATCCGACGGCCTGCAACAAAGGCCCGTCGCGGGCCATCGCTGCAGCTCTGTCTGAGTAGAGTGTTCAGGGTTTAGAGAGAGTGTCAGGGGCAATTTCCGGGTTTCGGGTTTGCGGCGTCTTTTCGGGGCTTCGGGTGTTTTGGGGGTTGGGAATCTGCGGGGATTTGTCCACATGAGAAGCCCAAACTTCACGGCTGTCTGCCCTGAAGCCGAGCCCGAAACACCGAAAAAGCCCCAATGCACGGAGCTCTCGAACCCGAGCCCGAAACCGTGACACCCAAAAGCCACAAACCCCTCCCAAGCCCCACACTGAACTGCCAACACCGACTTGACGTTAATCAGGAAGTCAAAGGGTCCTCTTACTTCAGTAGCTTGGATAGAACCTGAAACCCTACCGAACCATCGAACCTATAAAGACATACTCCTTCAGGTAAGCCCGGGAACGTGAGACTTGAAGTAGGGCATCCAGGCACTGTGCCAGAAACCCTTTGTCCAACCCGGTGATAAGCAGAGAGCACGAAAGGCCCCCTTGAGGGTTTGGGGGGTGAGCCACACACACTAACAGAGAGAGTAGTTGGGGTGGTCGGCGCGGGACTACACGCTGACGCAAGCGCGCGATAAGTGGGTGCGTCCCCGGATTCCACCTTCTTCAAGAACCGCACCCGGCATGTATACTGTAAAAACAAGCTGAGCCGCAAACCTCAAACCCTAATTAGATCCGAAACCCAAGACCCAAGCCTTAAACACTGAGCCCCAAACCCCCAAAAATGAATGGGTGCCAACCCGATTGAGCTGAGGTCAGGGATGTCTTGGAGCCTTGGCCACAGACAGTCTTAGGGCCTCTTAGGGTTTCATGAGAGATTTTTCGGGGGTTTAGGGTTTAGGGTTTAGGGGGCTTAACGAGGAGCTTTGTAGGGTTTCGGTTTCCAGGCTTCGCAAGCAGGGGAGGCCGATGTTTTGCCCTTAATTGCACTGCGGCCGCAAGCGTCGTCTGCATCCTGTCTGTGTCTTGGAACGTCTTGCTACGTGCCAAGGGGGCTATTGAAGAGGGTCCAAGCCCTGTAGGACCCTTTCAGCCCAAAAAGACCCTAATAAGGGGGCCTAAATGATTACCTATACCATTTGGGGGGCTCCTTATTATCATTATAGCATAATGGGCCCCAGAACAGCATTCTAATTATGAAGGCCCCTACAGTATTAGATCCTGCAGAACCTGTTTCCAAGCCACACCCCCAACCTGGATCTGCTGAGGAGCTGGAAGAGAAGTTCGGCGCGTTTATCAAAGACCGCACCTTGGCCACGGGAGTCTCCACAAAGGAGGGGCCCGGTTTAATCGGCTATGAAGGGGGGGGAGGGTAGGTCCATCTTATCATGAGAGCATAATATACCCCAAAACCCTATTCTAGTTATTAAGGCCCCGAAATCAGGGTTTACGGAGGCCTGAACGCCGAACCAGCCAAGAACCACCGACCCCAAATCTAAAGCCGGGCTACTGAGTGACGTTTGCAAAACCCTGCCTTGTGAGGGACTTCAGCTGCCAAAAAATCGGTAAAAGTATAGATCCGTATACGATCATATCTGTATATATATATATATATGCACACATACATATACACACATAATACTGTCGGTAGTTCAGTGTCTCCGAATGTCTGCATGTCTGTATGTCTTCATGTGTGTATGTCTCTGTATAGAAAAAATATAAAGAAGTATGTATCATATATATATATATATATACACACACTCTCAACTCGAGGGGGTTGGCGCGGTTCAGTCTGATGCTGCAGCTTAATATGGAGACTTGCACTTCCAGCTTTAGGGCGTTTCTCCCTTCTCGGGATCTACCACCATCATCTCTAGACTCTACGGTGCAAAGCCCGAGCCCAAGACCAAAGAGCACCAAAATCCCAAAGCCCGGCACCTTGAACCCCGAGAACGGCACCCCAAAGCCCTCACTCAGCCCTACACCTCCAGTCATGGACCCCCCTATGTTTAACCCTAACCTCAAAACCCCTAAACCCGAACCCGCAAGCCCCTAAACCCTAAACCTTGAGCCTCGAACGAGAAAAGCATGGTAGCTGGGAGTGTTGGGCGATTAAAGTTAGCAGCTTGGGCTTCAAGGTTTTTCGGGCTTCATTGCCTCCAAGCTGCGAAGAATTCAGTATCAGCCCCGCCCAAGAAAACATCATACACCGCCACCTTCACAAACAAGCCTGGCAGAAAGTCTTAAGGGCTGGTCTCCGTCTCCGAAGGCAGCATGTGCAGTCCCAAACCCTAGATCCTGAACGCTGAGACCCGAAGCCCTGATACCCAAACCCTCAAGCCGCATTCCTGACCAAGCTAGACGTCCGAGCGAAATGGGTGCAAGACGTAAGCAAAGCGGTGCAGAGATCTCATAGACCGTAAAGATCCCGAAGGGAAGAAAGCTCATGCTTTTGTGTACAGAGGGCAACATAATGTGCTTTTTTTGCTAAAAGGAAACATGTATTACATCGACCCGAACATCTTGCGGCAGCTGACGAAGCACGACAAGCTCTCCTATGCCGAGCTCGAGCTCCGGCAACCGGTTTTAGGGGTTTTAGGGGTTATAGGGGTTTAGGGGGTTTTGGGGTTTGGGGTTTAGGGGTTAGGGGTTCAGGGGTTTAGGGGTCTAGGGGTTTAGGGGTTTAGGGGTTTAGGGTTTAGGGTAAAATCCTGAAAGCCGTAGGGACTTATGTAGGACTCTACGGTTTGTCACAGGGTCCCCTGCATTTGTTGAAGGGTTGTGTCGTTGATAAATGGGTTCTAGCGGTCGATTTAGGAATCAGTTCTTTTTGAGATGTATTGTTCAGGGTTGAATCTAAACTTTGAGGTGTTTTTTGGGTTCGGGATCTAATCCTACTGAGGGTCTATCTACCAATATCGGTCTATTTTGGTCTGAAAGGGTTTCCAACAATATGCGTACTTTAGGGCTATATCGGTGCACGGACAAGGCAGATAGTGTGTCCCGTCGGGTTTGAGGGGATTCAAGTGAAGGCCATAACAACCCTGGCACAACTCTATGACTCTATGGCTCTACGAAAGCCCATCATGGCGAACTTATAAAACTGGATAAGGAGTTCTACAAGTCCCCCCTCTACATCCCGTGCGATGACTTCCGGCCAGCCTCGGGAGGGCAGGATCCCAGCCGTAGTTCGAAGCTTCGAAGTCGAGAGAGAAAGCTTGGACTTATTCCGCCAAAGCTCATGGTCCAAAACCGAAAATCCTGTCCTTGGCGTCCTGAAGCTCGGCACTGCACCGTGAACTGCGAGCCTTAGACCGTAGATCTATCAGGTCGGTCCGCAGATGGTGCAGTGGTTCGCACTTGCGCTGCACATTTGCCATACCTTTGCGGTCCGTATCTCAAGTAGCAGTGCGCGATAGAGGCGCCGGTGACGGCGACCTGCTGTTCATGCTTCTTTAAGTTTCTGATTTCAGGCTTTGGAGCTGGAGCTTCTGGAGGCTTATGGAGTCTTGTGAATGTTACGTAGATCCTGTTGCTGTGGCTAGGACTGCAGCTGCCGCTGCAGCTGTTACTACTGCTCGCACTATCACACACTACTGGTCCTACTGGTTACGGTTGCTATTTGTTACGGCGAGGTTGCAGTGCGGGGGAGGCGCGTGGGCTGCTTCAGGCAGCCAGAACGATGCACAGCAACAATCAGCACACCACGGACAACGCAAGCAACGGTATCACAACACGAAGAGCGACAGAGCCAATAACACAAGTACCAGTAGCAACTACCCCACTGATCCGTTCTAGACTAAAGCCCAGGAGAAACCCCAAAAGTTGAGCGTAAGGCCTCAAGTGTACATCCTTGACCTTAGGATTAACCTGAAACCCCAAACCCCAAACCTATGAATCCTAATCCTAGCGCCCTAATTCAGGTAAGTCACTGGTGGGGCACCCAGTTCCGCGTCTACTGCAAGACGCTTCGTCGGCACGCCAAAGCTGTGTGCGATACTTCGGACGAAGCTTCCTGGGGTGGGACCAGCTACTGGATTTGTGGGGGCCTGAGCTGGGGGGAGTAGTATGGGTCGGCATAACTCGCAGTACCATGTTGGTATAGTCACGTATAGTCCCCAAAGTATCGAAAGTTTGACGTGCCCCCAGACGCTATTGAAATTATTAAGGCCCCTTTACTGAGTAGGAGCGGGTCTGAGTTCAAGAATTTTGGTTGGTTAATTCTGTATGGGGCTTCTTGGTATTAAGGCAATTGAGGGCTTTTGCCTGTTGATAAACCCTAGACCCTAAACCCTCAACCATAAACCCTAGGGCTTGTGGTTTCCGTGTGTGCAGCTTCTGGGCCAACTCTTCGAGACTCCTGAGGTTACATTCTTAGCAACACTGAAGGAAAGAAAGGCCTAAAGCCCTAAACCCTATAACCCTAAAACCCTCAAACCCTCAAACCCTAAAACCCTAAACCCTATAACCCTAAAGCCCTAAACCTCCAACCCTAAAGCCCTAAACCCTAAAGACTGAGCTCTCTGGGACCTTAAGCTCTGAACCTCACACGCTACATCTAGAACCGGGGCTGGGTAGTACAGTGTAGGTAATTTAGGAATCTCTTGAATTCTATATGATTAGATAGAAAATTTGTATACCTATCTTGGGACAACAGAAGCTACTACAGAGGGGGTTCTTGCTAGTTGTTCTGACCCCTGTAATCGACCCTAAGTGCGGTGAGCCCTAGACCCTGAATCCCAAACCTTGAGCTCTCAACCCAGCACCAGAAACTCTAAACTCCACCGTAAGCCTCGGAGCCCCGAAACCCTAAATGCTATGAGCCTTGAAGCTCTGAACCCGTTAGGGTTTAGGTCAGGTCATAGTAAACCCTACATCGCTGCGCCAGGTACATTCTCGAACAACCAATACCACATCAGGGAGGCTTCCTGGATGCACTTAGTCTGAGGGTGTTTGGTCTCCGGGATTTGTGGCTTCAGGGCTTTAGGATAGGTTTCGGGTTTCGAGCTCGGGCTTCACTTTCAATCTAAGTCCTAGGGGATCAGAGGAGTTAGTAATTAAGAACTGATTGGGATTAGAAGTTGAGGGCCTACTATAAACGCCTTAATAATTACCTATACTATTTCGGGAGTTCCTTAGCAGAATTATTGTATCATATACCTCAAAACCCCATTCTAAATCTTAAGGCCCCTACAGTAGATAAGGGCACACTGGCCCTCAACCTCTGAATCGTAGACCCCGGAAGCCAAGAGCCTAAGCCCCAAGTCCAGCGGCCAAAACCTTAATCAAAACCATAAAGTGGGAAAGCCCGAAACCCCAACCGCGGAACAAAACAAAAAGCGCCTAGTTCGAAAGCGCTACACGAACGCAAGCCCTAGACCCGAACCTCGACCTCAAACGCATGAAATAGAGGTCTAGGCTTTGTGTCCTGCGGCGCAAGCCGTAAAATCCCCTAAACCCTAAACCGTGAAGCTCTGACCTTGCGGCCTGAGGGCCTTAAAACTCAAACAGGCGAAACCCTGGAGCCTTAGATCTTGGCGCCTCGTAGCCAGAACCCGAGTCCACAGCCTACACCCTAAAGTCTCAGGACTCGGCGAGATCTTAAACCAGGTAATGTAGGGGCCTAAATAGGTACCC